TATAGCCTTTTTGAAAATTCTGCCTCCAACAACCTTTATTTCAAAACAGGTGAAAAAGCTCCATGGCCTACACTTCAGGTCTAATGTCTGAACCCTCAAGTTGAAATACTTGAGTGGGAGAATTTTTGCCTTTAAACATTGAGTATTTGAAATATAAAAGCTATTCCATCTTTGAAGAACTTAGACTACTTTTATATGGCCCCATCAGTACACACACTGTCCATTTCTGCCTCTGGGAAATACTGTGACCCTTTTTAAGTGAGAAAAAAAAAGGACAGAACGTACTTTTACAGAGAAAGTACAGCATTTGAAACTCACTTAGTCTTCATTAATTCTTCATACACAAAGGAAAGTCAAACCATGAAGAATACAATCAGCCTTAAAAGACTATTGCTAGTTTTAATATGCAGAATACCTATGGTATATTTAAAGTAAATAAAAAAATAAGAAATAATCTGCACTTCTTCAGTGCAAGAGTCATAATTCCTTTATTCACAAATTGCCAGTGTGCACAGAAATAGCTCTACAGAAGTACACTTTTTTAAAGTTGGAACAGTTTTTAAATAAATAAAAACTGGTCTGTAAATTGATTAATGCAAAGAGAGAAATCTACAATCTGTAAACCAGGACAACAACAAGCTGTCTGTAATCACCATATCTTCATTTTGCTTAATTTACACACTGCTCCAATTTACTACTATGGCCCTCACCATATCTAAACCTATCCTAAACCCAGATCCAGTTCTAAGTCCAATAATAAATTTAACAAGTGGGCCAATATAATGTAACATCAAAGATGAACACCCTTGAACTTTGTGGTGTTGGGATTAGTATACAGATATTCATTAATGTGATCAGATACCACGGTGATGGTGGGGGTACAAAAATGAGAATAGGATAGTATAGAATTCAAACTTGGTTAACCAGGTCTCTCTCTCTCTTCACACAACGTGAAGACAAGTCCTCTTATATTTAATGTTTAAAATGCTTCCCTTCCTTCTAAAGTCCCAGAGCAGCAACACCTATTCTCCAAGAGCCAATTCCCTGCAGTCCTTATTCAGGGAAAATTTCTGCTGACTTCAGTGAAACCTTCTCCTGAGTAAAAACTGCAGCATTTGGCCCCCACGCCTTTAATAAACTCCACAACTGGATCCTGTTTGTATAACCAGGGAATAATATTAATATAATTCATATAAAAGGTGAATGTCAAAAAGCTTTTTCCTCTCAAACAATGGTTAAGAAACAGATCTTTTTTTTTCTATTTCTGCCTCTTCCAGATCAAATTTGCTCAGTTAACAAGGTAAACTAAGTTTCCCGTCCCCTCAAAGGAATTGAATTAGAGATTGCCTTGGTTCCAGGCTCCCCAGCTCCAAGCATGCACAAGCTTGAGTGGGATTATCACCCCTTTAGTTAGGGAGTGATAATCCCTGTCTAAACCAGGATCCACAAGGAAGAAAGAAGAGCAGCAGAATACGGACCCTGGACTTCAGAAAAGCAGACTTTGACAACCTCAGGGAACTGATGGGCAGGAACCCCTCGGAGAATAACATGAGGGGGAAAGGAGTCCAGGAGAGCTGGCTGTATTTTAAAGAATCCTTATTGAGGTTACAGGGACAAACCATCCCGGTAGAAAGAAAGTAGAATAGAATAGTAGAAAGAATAGTAAACATAGCAGGTGACCAGCTTGGCTTAACAGTGAAATCCTTGCTGATCTTAAACACAAAAAAGAAGCTTACAAGAAGTGGAAGATTGGACAAATGACCAGGGAAGAGTATAAAAATATTGCTCAGGCATGCAGGAGTGAAATCAGGAAGGCCAAATCACACCTGGAGTTGCAGCTAGCAAGAGATGTTAAGAGTAACAAGAAGGGTTTTTCAGGTATGTTAGCAACAAGAAAGTCAAGGAAAGTGTGGGCCCCTTACTGAATGAGGGAAGCAACCTAATGACAGAGGATTTGGAAAAAGCTAATGTACTCAATGCTTTTTTTTTGTCTCTGTCTTCACGAACAAAGTCAGCTCCCAGACTACTGCACTGGGCAGCACAGCATGGGGAGGAGGTGACCAGCCCTCTGTGGAGAAAGAAGTGGTTCTGGACTATTTAGAAAAGCTGGACGAGCACAAGTCCATGGGACTGGATGCACTGCATCCGAGAGTGCTAAAGGAGTTGGCAGATGTGATTGCAGAGCCATTGGCCATTATCTTTGAAAACTCATGGCGATCGGGGGAGGTCCTGGACGACTGGAAAAAGGCTAATGTAGTGCCCATCTTTAAAAAAGGGAAGAAGGAGAATCCTGGGAACTACAGGCCAGTAAGCCTCACCTCAGTCCCTGGAAAAATCATGGAGCAGGTCCTCAAGGTATCAATTCTGAAGCACTTAGAGGAGAGGAAAGTGATCAGGAACAGTCAGCATGGATTCACCAAGGGCAAGTCATGCCTGACTAATCTAATTGCCTTCTATGATGAGATAACTGGCTCTGTTGATGAGGGGAAAGCAGTGGACGTGTTGTTCCTTGACTTTAGCAAAGCTTTTGACACGGTCTCCCACAGTATTCTTGCCAGCAAGTTAAAGAAGTATGGGCTGGATGAATGGACTATAAGGTGGATAGAAAGCTGGCTAGATTTTCAGGCTCAACAGGTAGTAATCAATGGCTCCATGTCTAGTTGGCAGCCGGTATCAAGTGGAGTGACCCAAGCGTCGGTCCTGGGGCCGGTTTTGTTCAATATCTTCATCAACGATCTGGAGGATGGTGTGGATTGCACCCTCAGCAAGTTTGCAGATGACACTAAACTGGGAGGAGAGGTAGATATGCTGGAGGGTAGGGATAGGATACAGAGGGCCCTAGACAAATTAGAGGATTGGGCCAAAAGAAATCTGATGAGGTTCAACAAGGACAAGTGCAGAGTCCTGCACTTAGGACGGAAGAATCCCACGTACCGCTACAGACTAGGGACTGAATGGGTCGGCAGCAGTTCGGCAGAAAAGGACCTAGGGGTTACAGTGGATGAGAAGCTGGATATGAGTCAACAGTGTGCCCTTGTTGCCAAGAAGGCCAATGGCATTTTGGGATGTATAAGTAGGGGCATTGCCAGCAGATTGAGGGATGTGATTGTTCTCTTCTATTTGACATTGGTGAGGCCTCATCTGGAGTATTGTGTCCAGTTTTGGGCCACACACTACAAGAAGGAGGTGAAAAATTGGAAAACATCCCGCGGATGGCAACAAAAATGATTAGGGGACTGGAACACATGACTTATGAGGAGAGGCTGAGGGAGCTGGGATTGTTTATTCTGCGGAAGAGAAGAATGAGGGGGGATTTGATAGCTGCTTTCAACTACCTGAAAAGGGGTTCCAAAGAGGATGGATCTAGACTGTTCTCAGTGGTAGCAGATGACAGAATGAGGAGTAATGGTCTCAAGTTGCAGTGAGGGAGGTTTAGGTTGGATATTAGGAAAAACTTTTTCATGAGGAGGGTGGTGAAGGACTGGAATGCGTTACCTAGGGAGGTGGTGGAATCTCCTTCCTTAGAAGTTTTTAAGGTCAGGCTTGACAAAGCCCTGGTTGGGATGCTTTAGTTGGGGATTGGTCCTGCTTTGAGCAGGGGATTGAACTAGATGACATCCTGAGGTCCCTTCCAACCCTGATATTCTATGATTCTGTGATCCACAGCCCTTACGATGCTCACAGCCTCTGGTCCAACCTCTATGGTCAAGGAGTGTGTGTTTTTTCCATGTCACTTCCTATTCTTTTTTGAGAACAGGGGAACTCAAAGGAAAAAAGTTCTGGAGAGGCAATGCATTTGGGAATGCCAACTATGGGGGATATGTCTCCTTTCAAATAAATGCATCTTGCTATATACTAAAGTAGAATATAAAACTTTTCCAATTCGTGTTCTGGGGTAAAATTTTCAAAAGTACTGAAATGACTTAGGAGTCTAAGTCCCACTTACTTCCAGTTGGACTCAGGCTCCTAAGTCACTTGTGCACTTCAAAAAATTTTAGTCAAGGCCTTTATCTGCATAACTCCTCGTAAAGTCAATGAGATTCACATGACTCCTTCTGCAGCCCCCAAATAGATATACTTATACAATATTATATTATGAATTATTGTACAAGTATATATTTTGAGGTACATTTTTCAGCATGTTGCCATCTACCTCTCATAGACTAGGTGGAGGTATTCAGCTAAATTCCTAAGCACTGATTTGAAAAGTGAATGACAGTAATGGAGATGGATGAAGGCAAGTACTGTCTGAAATTAAGGTTTGTTGTAGAAAAATATACTATTCTGTTTTTCTAAACCATTTGAACAGTTTTATTTAATTTAAAACAACTGCTTTTTGTTGCTTGGGAAAGCTACCCAGTATCACTCAGAGATTTGTGATGACCCAGTACATAGAAGTGACTACATGCGATAAAGATAGCCTGAAACCAGGTTTTGTTGTGATTATTATCAGTTCTGCAATCTATACATAAACAAGATGCACAAGGCTATTACTATTCTATATCCATGAGCAATCAAAGGTCTAATAGTTCTATATTTATCCGGTACCCATACAGTCTTGCTACAGCATCTTAGTATATCTGCTTGTGCACATTTTCAAGAGTTGTACTCTAACTTCCAAGCAATTTACACTTGCCTTTTGCGTGTCAGTGTATTTATAAAAAGACAAACAACAACAACAACAACAACGTTGTGGCACAATCCTATTACAATTATTAAAATGAGCCAGAATTTGGGCTTTTGATGTTTTATGGCTTTGAACTACTTCATCTTTGAAATTTAATTATAAATCGGACAAGTCTACCACAGAGAACACAGCATGTCCAAAGAGAATGATACCAAAAGGGATTTTGGAGGAAAAATTTAGGAAACATGTTAAAAAATTTCCTTTGCCTGTTAATATTTTACCAAAAATCTCTAGTCCAGTGAGAAAGGATTTGTTTCCAAATTAAACACAAAAAATAGATATTAAAATACAAAGTCAATATAATCAATCATACCTTATTATGTGTCTGAGTTTGTCCAACCAGTATAAGAATATTTGATGAGATAATAGATAGGCAGAAATTAATTAGAATTATTGACCTCTCCGATCTGATGTACCTGTCCAAATAAATATAGAATAAAAAGGTTCTAAAGCCATTGAAAATGAAAATATCATAACAGATAAGCAACCATAAATACCTGAATGCAATTCTTAGAAATCCTGGTGACATTTTAAAATGTTAGAGCTCTGTTACCAGAATTTCAAGAGAGAATTTTCTGTTAAACATTATTACTTGTTTGGTATCTCCTACTAATACAAAAAAATATGCCAGTTAGAAAAGATTTTGTTTTCATGATGTATTTTATAATTCCCTCAGAGTGTCTCAAGACATTAAAGCTAGATTCTATCTAGCTTCCATTTTAAACCGTTGGTATTACTGATATGACATCATATTGATTATGATGTGACTGCATAAATTCAGATCAATAGTAATATAATTTCTTCTGCTGTCTGCTTCTCTATGGGAATGTTCATAGAGGGGCAGATCCACAGCTGGCATAATTCGAAATAACTCCATTGGATATGGCCCACAATATGAATTAAGATGCAGTATAGTAGATGATAACATGGCAATGCATTCTTAAACACTTACATTATTAGGATAATTATAGCACACATTAATCTTGAAGTTTAAACTACATTTACAAAATAATGTGTGTGAAGAAGTGATAATACAATAAGTCCTTCATCTTCATATGACCAAATAGCAAAGATAGCTGATCTTTGTACTGGTTGATACTAAATTATAGTAGTGAGTATCACATACTCTCTGTTGCCAACTTTTGTTACATTATTCATTTTACAAGTCTATTGGGAAAATGGTTGATAGGATAACAAAATACAACTGTATCATCTGGTTTCTTAAAAATGTAAATGTTCTCATTCTGCTACATTGTGTTTTGTATGCTGAAGCACACCAAAACAATGACTATTTCAAGAAACTGTATTATTGGTCTGGTTTTCAGAGGTGTTCTGCAACATCATTGACTTAAATCACTGGGAGCTGTGGGTGCCCAGATTTTATGAAAATTATTCAATTTATTTATAGCTTTTACTTTGCCAGTACAGCTCAGTTGATGCCACTGTCTCCAGTGGGCCAGAAAGTCATGGGTTTAAACCCCATGCCAGGCCTTACATGCATAACCACAGCTGACACTTTAGGGCACAGTAAAGATGGGTAGTTTGAGGTGCTGTGCTTTGGACAGAAAATAAATTATTGTCCTTTCTGCCCAGTTGTCTAGTTATAAGTTGAGGAGTCCATTACACTTTTCATAAAAAGAGTACAAGATACCCCAAAAACGTTCCTCCTATAAATAAAAAAAGTATAACGTCCAAGGCTGTGTGTGATTTGGCAGATGACTACAAAAAGGCTAGTGCATTTGCCTACACACTACTACTCTCTAACTCCTTATTAGTGATGGTCCTGAACCAGACCCCAACATCAAACACCCTGGAACTATGAAGAAGCTCAAATTTGAACATGGTATCAGAACAGTTTTTTGCTACTCAGTGTGTGGATAAATTTAGTGCTCAGGAAAGTTAGGGGCCCACAGCATTGCCCTGAGCCAGGCAAGTGATGTGCAAGCTTTTAGATACTTTACTAATGCACCTTATTTCTTCTAACCAGCAATGTTACCATTCCAAAGTTCTAGGCCTCTTTTGAGCAGACACTGCCAATCCAGACAAATTGTAGGGGTTTTCTGCTAACTAAATATATTTTCAAGGGTGACATAACCAAGCCCACAAGAACCAAGAATCACAAAAGTTAGTGCAGGAAAACCCTTTTTAGATCCACTGTCCATCTTTCTGCCAATGCAAGACTGTTGACTAAAGTGTACTCCTGAAAGCTTTGTTCACTCCAGCTTTAAATAACTCAAATGCTGGGACTTTCAAAGGTCATTCTACAGTTAAAAAGGCCTCACTTTTAGCACATACTTCCTGATATAAATCTAAATTGTCCTTTCTTCAGTTTCATCCAAACCCTGTTTTTATGCCTTTCAGCTCACATTAAACAATTACTTTCCCAGCTTAGAGGGCCTTCTACTGGGAACCACCACTAATACATTCAGCCTCATACCGGGTCTCCAACAATGCCAGATACATCACAAGACACAGCAATAACCCCATAATGCACTCAGTCAATTCTGCAGTTGGGGAGTTGGGAATCACTTCCTGAAGCCATCTTATACTCAGTTTATTTCTTATTTATTTATTTAGCATTTGAATATTAGCCAAGCCAAGCAATAGTGTTCTTAGTGATCAAGTGGAGCTCTTGGAGTCCATGCTGCATTTGGTTAGTGGGCACTGCTTGACAATGTGTGTCATTGAGCTGCATTGCAGCTGCAGCTTGAGTTATCTTGAAGACCGCAGTGGAGCTGGTTGACTATAGAGAGGCCTTGCCCAGTCGGGAATCGGTTAAGAATGGGCCACTGACAACGTGGCAGGTTGAAGCCAGGCAGGGGGAGCAGTAAAGTCTGTGACTAGGAACTGATTGGAGGTTGATATTGATGATGGTTGATAATCCTTATAATTTTTTATCCTGGCTGGAATACCCAGGTTTTCTATATTATACAAAAACGTCTAATCCTCTCTCTCTCTCTCATAGAGAGAAATTTAGCTATTTATTTTGGTACTTAAGCTATTTATTTCAGTAATAACGTATGGCAGCATATTCTACTGGTTAATGTTACATTTTCCATCCTTTTAAGCTTGTTGTCTTTTAATATCATTAAGTGCCATTTTGTTTTTGTATTATGGGAAAGGGTAAATAGCTGTTCCTAGTTTGCTGACTCTGTCTCTCATTATTTTATATCTTTCTCACTCTTCTTGTTCCGCACTAACTAATCATGCTATTTTAAATCCCACCTCCTACTGAATTTCTCCATACCTTTCGGTTGCATTTATGATCCTAGGGGTCCCTAAGGTGCAAAGCAAGTTCAGTATTAGACTGTGTCACAAAGTCCCAACCAAACATGTTTTTGAAGGCAGACTGCTTCATTCTGTGCTCGTCAATGAATGATGAGCTGAAGTGTGCATACTCAAGCATAGTAGTCTGAACATCTGTGAACCTGCAAAACCTGAAACTTGTGTGACTTTCATATGTAGATTTTATTACACAAATACCTCATGTTCAAACATAAATGGAGGAGAAGTAGGTCAGGAAATAGGCCATAAGCCTTGATTAAAATATAAGAATTCACCTCTGGAGGAATCCTGAAAAGTGTTTATTAACTGTCTGACTACTGCATTGAAAGGGCAATCTCATTAATACTGAAGAGGGGAGAGAAAGTATGGACTATAAAGTCATCAGTGGACCAAGACAGACAAGCAAATCAATTACACTAATCAGATTTATTCCAGATCAATTGCAACATGCACTGTATAGCTATTTTGTTTTAAAATGCCTACTGTTACAACATATAGAAGATAAGAACATATCTAATGGCATCCTGAACTACTCATTTAATTCCAAACAGTTGTGCATTTCCATTCAACCATGTCATCAATTACATACCTCCATAGTGCTGCATAGACAACTGCTAGGGTGATCAAGGCCAAGCATGAGAGACCACTGCCTACTATTAGGGTTACTGAGGGGGCACCAGATGATTCCATGATCTGTAGGTTACAACAAACTACTGTGAGAGAAAACCATCTTCCAGGAATTAAAATGCCAGAAAAAAGCAATAAAAAGGAAAATGCTTAAAACAGCTACTGTATCATAGCCAGCCTTGGTAATATTAGGTATGAAGCAGACGTACTCCTTCTAACTTAATTCCCAATTTGATCCATTCCCATCTCTGAGATCTCTTTAATTACTGATGCCATCCAGAGAGGCCTTAGAGCCTTAAAATGATTTATTATACCACTACATAATGTTTTGTAAAATAAAGCAAATGGTGATATTACAACTTAATAGGACACCACGGTACTAATTTAGGTGTAAAAGGCACGCTAGTTAAAATTAATTTAAATACTTATTTTCCTTGAAAGGTAGAACTATTTTGAAAATAATGTGCTAAACAAATAGTTTGTTTTATTGACAGCTATTAAACATCATCCAGTACTTTATCCAAGATCTGATTCATGTTCACTGCAGAATTACCAAACTTTAGGACTTTTAATAACTTTGTTTGAAGTGCAGTATTCTCACACACTTAGTTTTCTTGGGCCTCTGATTGTATAGAAGAAATGGCAATATAAGGGAACACAAAAATATTGTATGCTTCTTCTGAAGAACTTGGAAATCTAGAATGATTTAATCTGTGCTATTCTGAATTAATAACAGTAGAAAAATAAATACATGACCTTGAAAAATAAACTTGCTTTCTTGCTGTAAAACAATTAGTCTCAGACATCAGTATTATGCATTAGGGATATCTCTGTGTGTATTCTAAAATTAACATGATATTGGCTAATGCAAATTAAAAGACCTAAAAGTTTGACAAGATATTCTATATGGCTTACCGATATGCTGTTTAAAAGTCTTGAGTATGCGTTGTAAATTACATTTCATCAAGATATCTTTCGTCAACCAAACAAGAACTAAGATTAGTGTACTTTTAGGCCAGATTTTACACTGAAAGTCATGCTTTATTTCAACCACTTTGTTTCCAAACAGCTGAAGCTTACTGATAAAAACAGTCTCTGATCATATACTTCCAAAAAGAGGAAAACCAAATTATTGCCCTTTTGGGTTCAACTTCACAACGATTTGCTTTTTAGACTATTTTTACATGCAATAATACCTAGAGTGGTTGCTTCTACATTTTATGTCACTCCTTTCCATGCAAACTTTGTTATTTTTCTTTAAGATGCCAACAGACAACACAGAAAACCTGTACTGAACACATCCAATGCAGATCTGCAATGTGTTTAACTACCTTATCTAGGGTTTTCATTCTGCTAACAGCAATAAAACCTTCTACATTCCTCTTGAAAGATTAACACCCTTGAAAAAGGCTGTTAAGTTGATAATCGTTCAATATGAAAGTTTTCAACACATTTGCATTACAATTACAAGGCTTTCCTATAAAATACGGAGATGGAAGCCGTTCGAAATTGACTAGAATTTAGTTGTATCACAGAATTTGGAATTCATTTATCTGAGCTACTGTAGATAACAGGAGACTAACAACATTTTGCCAACCTGCAGTATTTAAACAATTCCTCGATGCAACGTCTGACATCTACCTAACAGAGAAGCTGGACAACAAATCTTCCTGCTTTTGCGTTAAACCTGGATTTTTGTCTTTGTTACTTACTATTTCTCTAGGTTGCTGAGCCAAAATGGCGAAGGTAGAGAGACGATCACATAAGCATTTCGTATGGGATGCATCGGTAAGCACAGTTTTACATCCCTGGGTGGACCAGGTTCCCAAAGAGTCGTTCCTGCAAAGGAGAGAGAGAGAGAAAGAAATCGGGATAATTATGCCTGACGGTCAATTCCATGAAGCGAATATGCAGTTTAATTGAGAGGAGAGTCTAGTGTAGTTCCCGGACAGAAGAGATCTACTTGTTGTTCAATAGGACTTAATTTAGATGCATCTCCAGCTGTACAGTAATGCGAAGGGAGAGGGGGGAAAGGCAGGGAGACGGCTTGGCGGCGTGCAATGCGCTGTCCAGCGTTCTTCCTGCTGAAACCTCGCCTAGCTCTGTAGAGCCCTCTGCTACCAGCAGCAGCCTTGTGCACGGCCGGCCAGCCACTTCCTAGCCTCATCAGATCACTTCAAACCCTGATCGGGGGTTGGGAGCGGGGGGAAGACAGGCTTGTTTCTTTTTCATACCAGCTCTGTCTGTCTCTCGCGCCTTGTTTTTTGGGGTGGTCGTTAGTGTTTTCTCTTTTGTGTGCGTGGTTAGTTTAAATGCAGATGGCTTTAAAATGTCTGTCTAGGTTACACTGGTTGCATTCGGAGATGCCGGATCTTCTGCTCCTCTGGCTATTTTTGTTAAGGGTTTGTTTTTTTTTTTAAACGATCAGCCTTGGAAATTTCACCCTGGAAACGGCAGCATCAGATGCCTCCGACTATTGCCTTTCCCTCAGCTCCAGCAGAGGGACGGATTTCAGCACAGCAGCCCACAAGATCGCCAAAGAGACACGAGTTCGCCCTCCAGACATCACTCAGCCCAACTCACCTTTCCCCATCTCCCTCCCCCCTTCCCTGTTGTTTGTTTTATTTGGGGGGCAACTGTACCGGGCTAACCCCAAGCCAAAAGGGTCATTTTAATGGGACTTTCCACCTTCTGCCATTAAAAAAAAAAAAAAGACTAAACCAGCCTCCGATTCAATTAGGCATTCAAAATGCTCAAATCCACCCCAGCAGAACAATAAAAATGGTATCGACCCACGTTTTCTTTGTGCGGAAAGAGAGAGAGAGGGGAAAAACCCATCTCCTCTGTCTGTGAAACACAGCACTGGGATCAGTTCTACAGGAGAAAGACTTCGGTTTCAACTAAATCAAGCCTGTTATCTTTACATAGGTCATATTTAGAGTATAACCATTGGATTTCTCCTCCCCCCCCCCCCCACAAATGTCTAGGGATCAGATGGAGACACTGCTGCTGGTAACAGCATGTGTTGTCAATTCTTGTCAATTTCACTCTAGGTCACTAAATGACTTGAAATGAGAAAAAGAAACAGGAAGACATGGGGGGGGGGGGATAACTACGTTTAATTTTCATTCACCAGGATCACTCTTCTGTTCACCTCTTCTGCCTCTAATAACCCACATCCGTGTGATTTCTCCAAGCCAGGGCCCTCAGGAAGCGGGGATTTGTGATCCCTAATTCCCTTTCAGAGTACAATTCACACTATCCCACTTTGGTATCTTATGCCACTAGCTTTTTCAGTGCCCAAAGGCAACACTTGTATCATATTACCTTCAAATCAGTTTCACATAAAAAACAAACACAGACACAATGGGGGAATCTTAGATGACAGAAAATCACCAAATCTCCAACTACCTAAGCTTTCCTTTAGAAGCCTCTATTCACGCATTTACCCTTGCACAAAGCCAAACAACACTATACCAACATCCACTTTAAAAAATGTTCATACATTTTATTTAAACTATAATAAATTCTGAAGCATATCTTCTGGTTCACCTTACAATTTTATTTTATTAGTTTTCCTTTCTCTTATCTTATTGTGACACACAGTTAAGGCCAAATGAAGTATATTTATCTTAGCTGATTAAATATTTAAGACAAATGATAGCTTAAGAGAAATTGGCATGTTTTAAAACATAAGGACAGTATTATTCACTCTGAATTTAGTACACTCTGAATTTAGTACACTGAATTTAACTTGTGTTTTGCATGCACAATGCATCCATTTAACACTAAATCTTTCAAAACTGTGTCCAATGAATAGCCCTAGGTGAGTTATAATAATAATTAAAAAAAAAAAAAGAAACATAGACAGCTATATAGACCAACTGTATTTAAAACAAAACAGTCCTGATCCTGATCACAATTAAACTGGTGTAAATCAGGACACTCCATTGATTCAGTGGGTCTGATTCTGCTTTCAGATACACTCACGTAAATCAGGAGATAAAGTCACAAAAGAGTTGAACCAGTGATTGCAAATGGCTACCAATAAAACCACTATGTGACACCACACCATCATGCATTCTATAAATGTCACATATTTCACAAAACAACTACACTAGGAATACTTTAAAAATTTAGGCTAGGATTTTTCAGAAGTTCTCAGTGCTGGCCTATCTGCTCCTCTTGAACTCAAGAGAAACGCCCACTGATGTCAATGGTAGCAAAGTTAGGCCAATACTGAGCACTTTCAAAAATACTACCCTTACCTTTTTTCTCCCTTTCAATGCAGGATTGTGAGATATTGAAATTTAAAACTATCACATGTTCAATATTGCCCTTCTTTCACCTCTTTATTTTGGGGGGAGAAATTCCACTTTTTGATGACAGTGAGACACATTTCTGTGGCAGGTTGATTATTTTGAAAATGATGGCTGTTTGAAGCTGTTTAGAATGCCAGTCTAAGTCCCTCAGAGTAGACAGAATATAATACACCAGAAACAATGTTATTTTTACTATTCAGTAACTTCCCTTGCAATATTATGTGATATACTTAAAAATATTCTGATTACTGCAAACAATGGGGCTAGTGGCTTAGATTTGAAATGGGACTTTGTACAGTAAAATGTTATGTAGGAGCATTTTCGTATAGTAAGATTAATTCTCAGAGGCACAACTGCCAAAACTGATTGCAGACTGATGATTGGGCCACATTTGATGTGCTAGCAACCACATTTTGCTTACCTGTACTTTTCTAGGTATCATGACACAATATACACACTTATTATTGATATGTTTTGTTGAAATTAAGGGTACAAATGCCCTATTAACTGCAGTGCTATTTTCTCTACATAAAAATAATGATTAGTAAAATTGTGCAGTGGCAATACTGTCAAAACTGTCATGTAACAATGGACTTATCACATAACATACACCAACTACCATATTATTCTACTCTGAGTCCTAGCCAATAATACAAAATAGGATGGGTTTATTATGGGCCAGCTTATTTACTGTTGGTCCACACTGGTAAATGGAGAGACCAATGGAACTACCTGTCTGGGTAATTGATCACCAATGTGAACAAGGGGTTTACAACCCGTCCCTGTGTGTGATACTTTAGCAATGTGTTTGCTGGTGGATAGTTGTATTTTAAGGTAGGATGAGCAGCCCTTTATATTGTTACATACAAAAAGTCTATGTTAGTTAAATAATATGGTGCAAAGCTGAGTGCTCAGAAGTTAGGAAATGCCAAAACTAAGGTTGCTGAATTAACCTTAATTCAGCCCCCTTGTGCATATGTTTTATGATACCATTTTTAATTACACGAGCAGGGCTCCGCTCACTCCCCAATCCTCCCAACTCCCACACTGACTTAGGTACAGAGAAGCCACAGAAAGACTTAAGGAAGTATATACTTCCCCTTAAACCTCTGCATGTCCACACAGCATGCGGCATGAATTCGTGCACGTAATTCTTACTGTGATCAATCTTCTGAATATTAATAGTGTACTGCAACCAACTGGGTCATCACTATAGGTTTTGCTAGTTGTGAAAAAAGATTAGAGGGCAAACACTACATGCAACAATATTGCAGAGAAATATTTTTTCAAACCCCTGGAAATTCAGAAGTTTATTCTCATGTAATTTATAAAAACTACATTATGGAAACATGAAAAGTGAGCTGTAGCTCATGAAAGCTTATGCTCAAATAAATTTATTAGTCTCTAAGGTGCCACAAGTATTCCTTTTGTTTTTATGAAAATGAAAGTACACATATTGGACAAAAGCATCTAATACCACATACTGCCATCAACATGCTCACTGACCTTGTGGGAGGCCAAAAAAAGTAGAAACCCCTGAGAATTTTGTTTCCTTGCTGATCTCTAAATTGAAAATGAATCCTATTTAAATATATATATATTTTTTTGCAAAACAAATGTGCATCTGGGCTGGAAACCAAGTTTTAGTCCAGTGCGATTTGAAACAGATGAGATACTAAACCCTGAAAAATAGGATTTATAGGAGAAACACTACCATAATGGGCATGTGTTAGTTGTTATACTCACTGTGTAATAATTAATGACCACCCTTTTGCTCAAAATATGGTCCTAAGTAAAAGACAGCATCCTTGATCATCCCTTCCACTACCATGCACAAAGACAGTCAGATTGGGTGCATCTAAGCTGGAACTGTGGAAGAGGGGAGTAATGACTCCATGGCATGATCCCACAGATGTACTTCTGAAGCTATAGCACAGAGCTGGAGCACAGCAGAAGAGAAAGAAATGAGGTGAGGAAGGATGACCACTTCTTCATATTTCTTGGGGTCTGGGAAACATAAGGTATTGCCGACCTCTTAATATTATCTTATTCTGACTACTTTTCTATTTTATGATCTATCCCCCAGGTCAGAGTATCAGCAGGGAGAAGTTAGTTTTTCTAGTGACCCATCCAGTCTCAGTCTTTATTCACTACAAAAATTAATTTCCCTCTGCTGATACTCACACCTTCTTGTCAAGTGTTTCAAATGGGCCTCCTTGATTACATTGGCCTCATTAGCACTACAAAAGTGATTTTTCTTCCCTTGGAATTCACCCCTTCTTGTCAACTGTTGTGAATAGGCCACTTCCACCTTAGCTGAATTGGCTAGTTAGCACTGACCCCCTACTTGGTAAGGCAACTCCCATCTTTTCATGTGCTGTGTATTTATACCTGCTACTGTATTTTCCACTCCATGCATCTGATGAAGTGGGTTTTAGCCCACAAAAGCTTATGCCTAAATAAATGTGTTAGTCTCTAAGGTGCCACAAGGACTCCTTGTTGTTTTTGCTGAAACAG